AAATTTATTAATCAGTGCTAAAGCTATGTTATGTGCATATTCAACTTCAGAGGTGTCTGACTTCGCTGGTGCTTTCATCATTAGGTAGAGACTTTCTGTATCTCTGTTAGTGCTCCAGTAAGAGCTACTTTGTCTAATATTAATGTAGCTACTTTCTTTTGGTAATGTGTGCTTGGCATTTTTGTACCATTTTGCTTTTAGCCTTTCCATAGTATATTTTTTCATAAGTTCTTTGAATTTTAATGCTGTCTGACAATCTTTGTATTTGATAGGAACATGAAATCTCTTTATACTTAATGTTATACTTTACTGCTTTCTGAGCAATACAAGAGCCAGGATGGCTTTCATTCCAGTTACCCCATTCTGGCATAAAAGCTGTTTTCATCATATGCTTTCATTATATATGTTAAACATAGCATATCAATAGATTATCATGAAAAGGTTGTTTTACTTTTCAGGCTGGCAAAATCACTCAGTGAATAAAGGTGCTTGCCATCAAGCCTAATAACATGAGTTTGATCACAGGAACTCACACAATGGAAGGTGAGCACTGACTCCCCCAAATTGTCCTCTGACCTTCACACGTACACCATTGCAAACATGTACAAACACAATAAACAATAAATGTAAACAAGAAGATTGTTGTCATTGCTCTGTATCAAAAAACCATTTAGATCAGGCTTTTTGAGTCTCTTCACTTATTAAGATTTGGGCCCAGATTATTCTCTTTTGAGGACTGTGTATTATAGGGTGTTTAACAGCATTCCTGGCCTCTTTCACTAGCATGTTCTCATGACAACCAAGACCACTTTCAGACTTTACCAAATGACCTGCTCCTCATCTGAGAGCCACTTCCTTAGATTCCGCTAAACACTTACACTTTTTCTTTTCATCCTTTCCTGTGTCTCCAGACCTTTATTTGAGTTTTCCTTCTCATTCAAAAAATGTCTTATAGTAATTCATTTTTAAAGTTCTATTAAAGATCGACTCTTTTTTTCAACTGAAAATGGTCTTATACTAACTTAGTTCTGAAAGCACACATTTGCTGGATAGATTCTGAGGTTAACGTTTTTAAGAAACCATTTCTGTCTGTTTGTTTGCATTGATTCTACTTTTTGTTTTGTTTCATTTTGAAACAAGGTTTCGTGTAGTCCAGGCTGGCCTCAAACTTAATGTATAATCATGGATGACCTTGAATTTCTAATCCTTTTGCCTACACTTTCTACAAGATCACCATGACTTCCTTTGTTGGTTCAATTGAGAATTCATAACTCAATCAAACTACTTCCTTAAAAATAGCATTTTTTCTGACCGTTTTCTGGATGTTCTCTTTAGCCTTCAGATGTTTACTCTGATGCATGTAGAAAGTATGATTCTCTTAATTCTATTATATTTGGGATTCATGATACATTCTGAATTCATGCTGGATTTGTTTGTTTGTTTGCTTGTTTGAGATAGGTTTTCTCTGTGTAGCCCTGGCTGTCCTGGAAGTCACTCTGTAGACCAGGCTGGCCTAGAACTCACAGAGATCTGCCTGCCTCTGCTTCCCAAGTGCTGGGATTAAAGGCATGCACCACCACTGCCCAGCTGTATGCTGGATTATTACTTTTTTTTTTTTTTTGTCAAATTTGGGTAGTTTTTGTTTTGGTTGTTGTTGTTCGTCTCTTTATGCTTTAGTACTCTACCCTTAAGAACTACAGTCATTTGTGCAATAGCTTTTTGTTGTGTCTTCCACATCGCTCTTGGTTGTATTCTTGTTCTTCTGTTTGAAACATGATTCATCCTCACAAGTCTAAGTGGCCTGCCTTATTAATACTCTCTTCAGCTGTGGCTTATGCATTGTTAAATTCATCTGTTGGCCTCCTTGTTTCTTTTATTGTATTTCTTAGTTTTCAGTAAACTATTTTTATTTTCAATTCTATACTACAATTTTTAATTTCATATTCTACTCTGTGTACATTTAGTCATGTTTGTCTTAAAGTCTGTCTGAAGATCAGGTTTTCTGAGCCCTCTTTTTGTCTGTATCTATCATCTGTTCTTAGAACTTCAACCATGTTCTTCCACCTCTTCCTTTGTCTGATGCCTTTTGAATTCATGCCAGACATTATATAAACACTCATGAAATGGTAGGGCCTGGGATGATGTATTTTCTGTCTAAAGATTTTCACATTTTGAGTGTGGTGTTGCAGACACTGTCATTAATGTCGAGTGATTTGAAGCTGGCCATCACTGTATCCAGTGTCTTCACACTGGGTCTTGTTTTGCTAATATCACCAGCTAGTCTTTGTTCTGTTTCTCTCCGGCCTTGTGAAGCTATTTGAAAGCTCTGTTAAGCTCTCAGCCACCTCTTCTGGAATCCACAGATGTTTCCAGAAGCAAAGCAGTTTCAGACCTGAGACAGTCTGGGTTTCAGTCTTATTCCAAACACTGGCTCTGTTGTTTTTCTCATCTTCCTATTTGTTCTCAGCAGATGAGTAGATCCATTTTCCTTGCCAGAGGAAGCGCCTTCAGATTCCTTTTGTTCTTTGCAGAAATATAGATTTTTTTTCTCGTAGACATGGTAAAAATTTGTGAATCTTAAATGTCTAAAATATCTTGTTTGGTTGAAACTAGAATTATAGCTTCAAAATCATTTTTCCTTGAATACTTTTCAGATACTGGCTCATTATTTTCTTTCTCTCAGAGTTTGTTTTCCTTTTGTTTTCCTTTGATACAGGGTCTTGCTATATAGTGTGGCTAGCCTAGAGCTAACAATGTACACTAGGCTGACCTTGAACTTGTGGTGGTCCTCCTGCCATGGCCTCCAAGTGTTAGAATTATAAGTGTGAGCTACCACACCCAACTTGTTCCTTTCTTGCAGTATTGTGGAGAAGTGAATTCAGTTCTCATCCCTTTGTAGGAAGCATTTTCAGTCTATCTTCTGTGGAAATGCTCTATTTTTAGTATGTCTTTAGCATTTGTAAGATTTGCTATGAGGAATAAATTATTGATATTTCCTACTTGAAATTCTTGAAACCCTAAAACTTCCTTCTCTGATGAACTCTCTGTGCTTCCCATGCTTAGTCATAGACTTATCCCACCCATCCTCCATTCCTCCCCCGACACTAGGAATGAAGGAATGAAGCCTGGGGCATTAGGGATGCCAGCCAAGCACCATACCACTGAGCTACAGCCCAGCCCCATTCTCCATCTTTAAATTATCCCTATCTTCTCTTGAATGACTCCCTAGTTTTGCCTGGCAAGGAGCTCTTGCTTCCCAGTGTACACACACACTCAAGCTTTTTACTAGCATATCTTCTGTTATTTCTAGGAACCTCAGAGACAAGAAGGCTCAATGTATATCTGGCTTCCCCTCTTGAATCTCAGTAGTTCTTTTTGTGGCTTCATCTGATAAAATCTTCTAAACCAGGATTCACCTGGTTTCACCCACGTGGACTTGCCTGTGAATCATCTGAACTCTGCAGATAGCAAAGATGTCTTCATGTCAACTCCAGCATCAAACTTTTTTTTTTTTTTTTTTTTTTTGGGGGGGTTTTTTTTTTTCGAGACAGGGTTTCTCTGTGTAGCTTTGCGCCTTTCCTGAAACTCGCTTTGGAGACCAGGCTGGCCTCGAACTCACAGAGATCCGCCTGGCTCTGCCTCCCGAGTGCTGGGATTAAAGGCGTGCGCCACCACCGCCCGGCCAGCATCAAACTTTTGTCCAGGGTATTTATTTGTATAAGATCTCTGGTCATTTAAAAATCATTACTGTAGGTCACTGAAATTAAATCATGTTTAAAGTTTTATGATCTGCTTTAGTTTCAGAAAAACTAGTTTGCAGAATGTAAAGAAGGAACAAGGTTATTGGCACCTGGAGTCAACTCTTATAGTGAAGTAATGCAGGAAAGCAGGAGCAATGACCGCAATTCCGATGTCAGCCTAGGGGCAGGGAACACTGGATTTGCTGAGTAGGGCAGTGGGCCCTCATGGACACATAGCATGAACATTCTGCATCATGTACACTGACTGTTTTTTTCTTTGACAGTCATACTTGTAATATATGAGGGTCATGAAAAATCTAATTCTGGACCTGAGACCCTCTAGATAATCTCTAGGGGCCTCTGGGCAGGTGAACTGTGCCATCCCTGGGCCTTCTATAAGCTCTCACTTGTCAAGGAATTGTGTGAGTGCTAGGAGAGAGCAGGTCTGCTCAGCTAGATGCCACACTCTCCAGGACAGGGATCCTGAGGCTACTCTCCTAGTTTGTCTCCCTGGTCCCAGTGAACTCATTTTCACTTAACTCTGAAATCGAAATAGATTGGTTCAGAAGTAAATTGACAAAACGGTCTTAATTTAAACAAATTCAGGATCTAGTTTAAATAAATTTTGAGAAATGGCCCTCAATACTAATTGATATTCACTGGATTATAGAATTTTGTTTTTCATTTAATATTTTAATAAGCAACTTTATAATCATGTTTCTAGATACTCTAATCACAATATTACTTTCACCAAGTAATGCTTTTACTTTTTTGACCTTTTATGTTTATCCAAAAATTGAATATCTATAAACTCCAATTAACTTATTTTCTCTATTAAAATTTTTTCATTTGTTTTAAGTAAACTTTAAAAGTATACATAATTTTCAATATATCTATGAAGTCACAAGTTATCCTTCATGTGAGCAAGCCGACTTAAAGTGGAAAATGCTTTTAATTAAACATTAATGTTCCTTTAGAACTGAGAAAATTAAAGCTTCGAATCAGTTGATAATTCTACTCATCACATAATCCTAGCTAAACATATGAAAATAGTTTATAATTCCTTAACATTTGAAATACTGGGGGGAAAATCCTCCTGAAAAGAAAGAAGTAAACAAAACAAAGCATACTTTTAACTTTTCACTCTATTAATTACAGAGATACTTTCTCAAGGATTAAACATATTTGCACACAAAATACCCAGATATTAAAGCCACGCCACATGCTGTAGTAGAAACTTAAAATTTAAAACATGTTTACCTGGAAATCTAAACTAAGTAGGCTTTGCTTGGTGTCATTTAAGTCTCCCGCTGAAAATGAAACAAAACCAGAACTTTCTTTAAAAACAAAGAACAGAAGGGAATGTTGAAAAATATTAGCTGACTTCTTAGTCAGATCTAAAATAGCTGCTTCCCTTGGGGATAAATGCCTTTCAGTTCTTTGTGTGGAAAAATCAGCCAAAGAAGTAACCAGGGAAAATGGTTACCAAGGGAAATTTTTTACTTTTTTTCAAATCACAGGAAAAGTGGAAAACATCAGCAGGGAGTTGGGGCGGGGGTTGAGGAGAACATTTCCTTTGCAGGCTGAAAAGGCAGAACTAGAGTCACAAAAGTGATCTGAAACAAATTTGTGGCTTTCATAGGCTGTTTGCATGAAAATATTGCATAGATTTTGAAGTTCAGACTACCCAGCACACCACTTGAGATTTGTCAGGGTTACAGTGGTAGTGTTCTCATTCACCTAAAGGCTGCGTGAGTCTCCAGTCCTGTTTAAATTGAGTAAATTTCAACTTACTAAGGAAACCAAAACTGGTCACATATTAATGTCATTAGAAATTATGTAATTTTAGTGGTTGAGTGGTGGTACATACCTATAATCCCAGCACTTAGGGGTAGAGGCATTGGGAGTTTTAAGATTAGTCGAGGTTATATATGGAGTCTGAGCCAGCTTAGACTACATGAAACCCTATCTCAAAAATATTAATTTCATATATACATACATGCATTCACACACATATACATACATATGCATACATACATATTCCTAGCTGACCTGGAACTCACTGTGTAGACCAGGCTGGCCTTGAACTCACAGAGGATCTACCTGTCTCTGTCTTTAAGTCCTGAGATTAAAGGTTTGCACCACCATACCTAGATAAGTTGTGTGTGTGTGTGTGTGTGTGTGTGTGTGTGTGTGTTATACATATATTTTTTTTCTTTTTTTTTTTTTAATGTACAAGGGAGCGGTAAGGCTCTTCATTACCAGTTACTCCAGCAAATTAATGGTGTGCTTTGGCCTCAGGTTTCTTCATCTCCCCATGAGCAAGTTAGAAACAAATCAATGTCAAGCCCAACACTGCTGGCTGTGGATGCCTGAGTTACTCTGAAAAACCTAGTGAGTGTTCAGCATAGTACATGAAAGTCAAGTGCTATCAAGGCACATAGATTTGAAATTTAGAAATAATAAAAATGAAGATTTAACATATGTAGGGAACACTCACAACATACTTATTTATCATAAGATAAATGACTTATGTAGTAAATTATAAATGACCTCTGAATATCAGTTTTAGAAACAAGAAAATAGTGAATAAATTCCTTAATTTTTTGTTGTTTTTTTTTTTCTTTATTTTTAATGTACTTTATTTCAGTAACAAAATACTGGTTCTTCCATAAACATACAAAATTCACACTGTTAATCATTAAGTTAAAGGTCCAGGCTGGAAGCTCGTCCTCCGACGTCCGATAATCCCTAGATCACTAGGTCTTTCTTCTCTCTTCTCTGCTGGAGTCCACCCAAGCTGACATTTAAATAGAAAAATCTCTGCTATCTCCTCAGTTCTCTTTCTTCTCCGACCTCTTCTTCTTCTCCTCAGCTTGCAGTTTCGCTTCCAGACTTTTCCTTTGGTACATTTTCACTCCCACAAAGGCCAATTCACTCCCGCAAAGGCCAGTGTTGTTTTTTTGTTTTTTTGTTTTTTTTTTTTTGTTTTTTGACACAGGGTTTTCTCTGTGCTTCAGCTCCGCCTGTCCTGGAACTCACTCTGTAGACTAGGTGTCCTCGAATTCACCAAGATCTTGCCTCTGCCTCTCTGGTGCTGGAATTAAAGGCATGCACCACCACCACCTGGCTGGCTATGCCTTTAAATTTTTGAAAGGAATTTATTTTTCAATCAAAAAGTCATTGCAAGGCAAAAAGGAAAAACAAACAATTCAACTGACAAATGGACAAAAACATTAAATTAGAAGTTTGTAGACTAGGAAATGCCAGTGGTTGGTGAAAGCCAGTTTTCCAACATCAGTAAGAGTCAAGAAGTGTTCACTGAGATGTGTGCTATCACCCCCAGTATGAAATGTTGAGACAGAACAGAGGTAGTATGAACACCATCATTTTAAAATAATCCAAATAACCCCCACATACTTGGTAATCATAAGTCACAGCCTGATTTGTTCTGTTGAAGGAGAATTGTGTTCGTGGCATGCTGTGTGTGGCAAACAGAAATCATTCTATTGAGGACAGCTAATAAAAAACAGTACTGTCTGCCCGTGAGTCACTTCTAGAAATGCATTATAGGAACATCTTTCCATGCAGAGGTGTGCCTTGGGGTAGTACTTTGAAGCACTCTAACTATGGACTTTATGGGAAAACAAACAAAAAGTAACCCAGTTGTATATTCGGAACAATGTACTACAAAACTCTTTGGAAACTAAAATAACATTAATACTGTCATGTGAAGTTGTCCCCAATATACCAAGAGGAAAAGGGAAATATTCAAAGCAATATATGTATTATCTTTTGATATATATGATTTTGCATCTTTCTGGAGAGCAGATTAAAAGTGATAAACAAAAATTGATAATAATATTTATCCCCAGATGATGAAATTATAAAGATAATTCTCTATGTAATTCATTATTTTGTCAATGTTTTGTGCTTTTTATAACCAGATGAGGAAAGAATAACTATTTAAAACAGTATAAACAAAAAACTCTCTTTTTAAAAAATTTTGTGTGTGTGTTGTCTGCATGTATGTCTGTTTACTATGTGTATTCACTGCACACAGAGGCCAGAAGAGGACATCATGTCCCCTGGAACTGGAATTACAGACAGTTGTAAGCCCCTCTGTGAGTGCTAGGAAACTGAACCCTGGTCTTCTGCAAGAGCAGCCACTGCTCTTCATGGCTAAGCCATCTTTCTGACTCCTTAAACAAAAGTAACTCTTTAGAGGCATAGAGGAATAACAATAACTATCATGCTGAGATTGACATGGTTGGAAAAAAACAGTTTTAAGATTTCTGAGGTCACTGCTACAGGTTTGTGGTTTAATGGATGATTACATGAGCTGCTTTTCAGAAACTGTTTTAACCACCCTAATACATGGAAAATGCTGGTGTTATGGTTTTTCCTTCTCTCTTATTATTGTAGGCATAATTAAGTTCTAAAACTTGGCTACTGTAGTGCTCTGAAAGAGTATAGTGTTTGCCACTGAAGACTATGCAGAAAGTGAGCATCAGCCATGCCAAAAGGGAGTAAGCCTTTCAGTCATTTATTTCACTTACCACTGAATTCATTTAAGCTGGTTAGTATTTATTGTCAACACAAACTGGAGTCACCTCGGGAGAAGGAACCTAAGTTGAAGAATTGCTTCTCTAAGATTGGTCTGTGGACATGTCTTTGGGGACTTGTCTTTGATTAGTGACTGATATGAGAAGACCCAGCCTACCGAGGGCAGCATAATCTCTGAGATGATCCTGAATTGTATATAGAAAATTAGCTGAGAGAACTAGAGAGCAAGTCAATAAGTAGTTTTCCTACATGATTTCTGCCTCTGTTCATGCTTGAGTTCCTGTCCTGACTCCCTCAGTGACAAATTGTAACCTGGAAGCATACAGTTACTTTTGGTCTTAGTGTTTATCACAGCAACAAAAAGCAAACTACAACAGAAATTGGTACCAGAAGTGGGGTGTTGCTCTGATGGGCCTGACCATGTTATTGGTGGGAGGTTGGGGGACAGTGAAGATTTTGGAACTTTGATCCAGAAAAGCTATTGAGAGCTGAGAGCTTAATGAGCTGTTCTTTGGGAGCTTGGAATGCAGAGACAATGCAGAGAGAAATGCTGACAATGGAGGGCCATTGTGAAGTTTCAAAGGAAAGAAAACATCTTTCAGGGATGTGGTTGATATATTGTCACCTCAATAAACTTATCTGGGGCTCAGAGAACAGAACAGTCATAATATTAAACATAGAGGATAGGCAGTGGTAGCACACGCCTTTAATCCTAGCATTCCAGAGGCAGAGATCCAACTGGATCTCTGTGAGTTCAAAGCTACACTGGAAACAGTCAGGCATGGTGACTCATACCTTTAATCCCAGGAAGTTATGGCAGAAAGGTATATAAGGCGTGAAGACCAGGAACTAGGCTGGTTAAGCTTTTAGGCTTTAAGCAGCACAGTTCAGCTGAGTTCCATTTGGATAAGGACTCAGAAGCTTCCAGTCTGAGGAAACAGAATCAACTGAGGAACTGGCAAGGTGAAGAAGCTGTGGCTTATTCTGCTTCTCTGATCTTCCAGCATTCACCCCAATACCCAGCTCCACGTTTGTTTTTATTAATAAGACCCTTTAGGATTCATGCTACACAGGGATGTTCATATAGAATCTCTGTGGTTACTGTTTAAGTGGGGCTGAAAAATTAGCTGTGATTAACAAGAAATCAATACTACTGAAGTGAAACCTTCTATGCTTTACTGGGAAACTGGTTGCTGGTTAGCTGAGGGTAAAAACTTAACTGTGTTGTATAAGAGGCCAGCACCATTGAAGTAAATGGAAAGAATTCCCTTAGGGTCAGAATAAAGATCCATGGTCCAACAGGAAGCCAAGACTGTACATCAAGCTGGCAGCAGAATTTGGCAAATAATGTGTAAGAGTCTCCCACGTGATACTGGTTTTGAAGACATGAAAGGGTCATGGAGAGAAGCTAAAGCTTGACACTGGGTGGCAAGGTCACTGGAGTTCCTAAAGAGAGACCAAAAGATGCCAACAGTGAAGAGACATTCTCAGTTGCAGTAGAGATCCCAGGATACTGAGGACTGTGAGATCCACCAAGAAGCAGCAAGTGTGGAATGGAGCTGGTCTTAGAAAGCTTTGTGTACTGCGGATGGCATCGCTGGAGAAGTGGATATGCCCAAGCCTTTTGCAGCCAAAACATCATGAGGAACTCCCAGATGTCAAACGCACAGCTGCAGGGTTTGAGCTATACCAACAGACTGCAGTTTTGCTTACATGTGATTTTTATTCCCTGTTCTTCTCTTTTGGAGTAAGGAAATATTCTAGTAAGTAAGTACTTTTTTTAGAAGCCCACAGTTAAGAAACTTCAGAGTGCAACTTCTAAAGTTGTATTGTATTTTATATTATGATACTAATATGAGATCTTGGTGACAAACAAGAAAGAAATTATTAAGGCTTAAGGTGATGTGTTCGTGTACAAGGTGACAAGGAGTCTACTTGTCAGATTCAGCTGTCAACTTGACAAAGCCCAGAGTTATGTGAGGAAGTCTCTGTTGGGGGATGTCCTTAATCAGATTGGCCTGTGGGCATGTCTGTGCAGTGTTTTCTTCTCTTGTTGTGTTTCAGGAGGTTCTCTCTTTTAACTTAGAAGAATAAACATGACACATTGTTGAGTGACAGACAGGAAATTACCAATGTTTATGCCTTGTGGATGTATGAGTAGATATGAAGGCTGGTATATCTGATTAAAAATTAACCACAGTTTTATAGAGAATTTTATAGGTTATGTTATTTTATTCATAATTACTTTTTATAATTCCTGAATATTTGTCTACTCAGAAAAATAAGACTATTTCTATTTTACACGTACAACAAAACAAAACAGAAAGAGCTCCTTAAATAACAACTGCTTTGATCACATAGGTTTTCAGTCAATCCCTTTAACTAGTAATTTACTATTTTTACACTGCTGTTCTATAACAAGGCAGGAAATTCTAATGGATTTGATTCCTTCTTCATCTCTGCAGTTTCTCCCTCCTCTCAACTCCTGCCCTCCCCTCCCCTCCCCTCCTCTCACCTTCTGGAT